TAATAATAATAATAATAATAATAATAATAATAATAATAATAATAATAATAATAATAATAATAATAATAATAATAATAATAATAATAATAATAATAATAATAATAATAATAATAATAATAATAATAACAATACACACGCTTATGGATATAACTTATGCTAAATTGAATTAGGATAAGGTTTCATTCCTGAAGTTTAATGGAATTGGTGAGGCATTGGTTGTTGCTTTAAAGTACTTTAATTAATTACTAAAAGAAATGAGACAGTTTTAGAACTGATAATATTTATCGCTTAATTTGTTTAAAAACGATATTTATTGCCTGCATTTGTGAAACATAAAACTTACAATTGTGATAATTCTATTAAAAAATTAAATTACATCCATAATTTCGTGATAAATACCCCAATCAATATATGATCAGATTATGATTTAAATGATTTACTGGAAAAAATTGTAATAGATAAGTGTCATAAACATATGGGAAAACGTTTTTACAGATAATCATATCAGCAAAAAAAAAAATAAAAAAACAGTGATTGTAACATACTTTTGTTAAGCTTAATAAATTTTTTTTTCAATTTTGATAATATCACTGAATTTAAATCAATTTTTCGTTTTTTCTTTTCTTTTTAAATGTTCAATAATGTACCGAAAGATTCAAATTAAAAAGTTGTTAAAAAATTTTAAAATTTTCTATTTTTTTAAAATTATTATTTTGAATCATTGTTATTATCTTTTCGGCTATTTGTAAATTTTTTTCTTTTTCAGTCGAATATTTTTCAAAAAAAAAAAATGATAATTAATTCTTCTTTTCCTTTTTTTTTTGATGTTTGTATTTTATCCCTTTTTTTTTGCTTCATATATTAGTGTGAATTATTTCGATTCATTTCCCAATTAATGTTTACATTTCAAAATTCTTATCATTTGATAAACAATTTGTATTATCAATGTTTGTTTAAAGCATTGAATTTATTAAAGTTTAATTGAAAGATCAAATTTATCTATTATAAATTTTGCATTTTTTATAATTTTTTTAATGAAAAGAACAAATTTGGTGGTAAATTTTGTTAAAATAATGATAAATTAATTTAAATGATAAAAGATAAAAGATATCCTTTACGTAAGAAAATTTTCAACTTGTTTGAAATAAATGATACATTTTCAAATTTATCCGTATATATGTGTAGTGTCCGTGTGTCTGTGTGTGTAGGTGGGTGTGTGTGGGTGTGTGCGTGTGTGCGGTTGTGTGCGTGGGTGTGTGTTTGTGTGTGGGTGTGTACAAATCCGTGTATGTTGTATTAATTATCCTTTATTGATGATTGCCGATTGGCAACTTTTCATCCATCCTTTTCCGAAATACTCATTGTCGTTGCTATCGTCACACCATCATTGTCATCATTATCAGTGGAAAACTTATTTTATTCGTTTCTCTTTAAAAAAAAACCNTAGATATATCAGTTAATTGATTAATTAATTAATGTAATTAGTTTATACTATTAGTTAGTT